TTAAGCCGTTACAGTTCTATTGAAAATAATAACTCATGTTTGCAAAAATGTTATGTACTCCTAGACAACTAATGTGCTTAGAGCCTCATATGTATGTGTATTAAAACGTATTTTGAAAAAGCCGTTTTTATTTGAGACTGATGAAACTAAACTGTTTTGTTTGCAAAAATATTTTCAAGATTTAAATTTCAAATTAAAGTGAATTAGTCGCAAAAATGTTGTTAAATTATATGAATGTTGGCATATTTCTTTTCTGTATAGTATTAATTTTTGTTTTAATTAAAGTTTTGATGAAAACTTTAAGTGTTAAAGATATAAACTTACAAAGTCTAAAATAGTTAATAGTTGACTTTAAAATAAATTCATATGAAAAAATTAGTATATGAAACTAAGTTAGATCATTAAGATAAATAATTGCATTAAGTGCGACACGCCGGGTAGCTTTTTGATTATGTAGAGATTTGAAAAAGCGTTTTAGAAATAGAAAGCGTCGAAAATTCAAATTTCGTAAATTTCCGAGTAGGAATGGAGATGGAAAAAAGTTTTCTTTAAACAGTATGAAACCTTTATTCCGAAAAATTTTAAAACAATACGGAAATTTTGAAAAAAAAAATGATTATTTTAATGATTAACTAATAAGCACCTTATTCGATTTTCTTTGAAAAATTTAATTTTTGTGGCAAAAATGAAAATACTAGCACTTTTTGGAATTTTTTAAACTTTACATATACAATAATATCGAGCTTTTTATAATATACACGGAATTCGTGTCGTTGTATTATAAGCATAATTTAAAATGCAAATACGAATATAACATACATATGGTTATTATGTTAAAAACTAAATTTAAATTGGTTGTTTTTATGTGTAGATATTTATGATTTCTACATTTCAATATTATCGTTTTTCGATTTAGACGTGTATTGCTGATTTTAACTTTATATTACTGTAATATGTCGTAAGTTGGCGTATACATATACATTATACACACATATGTTATATTTACACATATTTTTATTACCCTTAGTTAAGTTTTTAAATTGAGTTAAAAGTTCCTAATAATACATGTTTAATTTCTATTTATACTTTTAATTATTTGGTTTCTGCTATTAATTGTATTTTTATAAGTAACTTCTTTTTTAACATTTTGCCATTAAAAATATTTTAATTCACAGTAAATGAGCTGTTCTTTTTTCTCGGTATATATTTTATTTTATTTATTTAACAATTTTTTTAATTTTATTTTATATTATTATTTTAAATTATTATTATACATTCTCTTATTTATAATTGATTGTAAAGTTTTATGTAGTTGTAAATGCTTTCTAAAAATTCCATAATAAAATTTTATATTAATATACTTTATTTTTGTTATTTGAGATCAAATGATTTATCCAATATAACAATAATTAGAAATTAAATAATATAAATTGTAACAGAAAAAAATTAAAACAAGTACTTACATACATACGTATGTATATATGTACATTTATATGAATTAAAGGACAATAAATCACTTTATAACCCACAGTACACAGTTATAACTTTATAACTTTAATTTTTAGACCACTGGTTCAATAGTAGCAAGAAATATATAATGAACAAAAATAAAGTAATGTTTAGAACTTCTAATAACATACGAATAGTTCTGTTATTCTGAAATTTTATTTTTTTACTTGATAAATTAATACTAAATGAATTAGGGAGATGGATATGAAATAGTATGAAAAAATCTTTAAATTTAACTATAACTATAAAGTTTGCTTTTGCTTTTTTTAAATTTCTTTTTTGATAATTTTCTAAATTTTAATACAACTCTAACCAATATACTATAAACATTATATTATTGTGTTAATAAAAATAGAAATTAATTTTTTCTTATTTTTTAATATTCATTAAGTTATCATTAATATTTTATCACTAATTTTGTAAAATATGTTATTATAAATTTTTTATATTTCACGTATATGTTACTACCATTGTTATTAATCTTAATTGTAATGTTAATTTTGGATTTTTATTTTACACAAATAAGAATAATTTTTTGATTTTCTTTATATATTTTCAAATTTTTTCTTAATATCTAAAATTGAAATAAAAAATTATTTTAATTGAATTTTTATAAACTTATATTTTTAAAGTGCTTTAATATAATGGCAGTTTTATGTTTTTTTTTTCTTTTTGTTATTTTAAGTAATAATTATAAAGATGTCAAAAATATACTTTAAAATTAAAAAAATTGCACTGGTCAAAATACAATGAAAGTACAGAACCCTAAATTTAATTAAATAAATAAATAGACGAAAATCGCATTTTTAGGGTTTCAGGGGGACAGTCAGTGAGAGTTTCTATAATTTTTAGATGGAAGATAACCAAAAATTAGAAATAAGTTTCTAGTAAAGATCTATATATATACTAAATATCAACCTTCTATCTTCAAAGATGTAAAACTTTTGTAAACATGTCCACACGTATAGTAAATTTCATATTTATACCTTTATTAGTTTTTGAAATATTTAAAATAAACTCTTTGAATTGTGTGGCAGCTAAAAGAAACAACTTGTGAAAACTAGGTGTCGATTGCATTATTGGTTTTACGATCGGACGGACGGACGAACAGACGCAGAGTTTTACGCTGAGCAAGAATATATACATATGTCCATGCTGCAGATGACTCCTCTCCTTCAAGTAGCTACAAACTGCATACCAAAGTTAATATACCCTTCACGAAGTGCAGGGTATCAAAATGAAAAATCTATACAATATTTTCAAATTTATCTGAAAAAAAAAATTGAGTTGATATAAAGAAACTTATTTGGGTATACTTTTAAACGGAAGTACGAGTACATAGGCTAAATTAAATTTTTTCTAAGCAAATTCTTTCTATACAGTAGCAAATTCTTTTTCGAAAAGTTTTATATGTACATGTTGGAATGCATGTATATATATATATATATATATATATATATATATACACATATACGAGTATATATACGAGTATATATATATATATATACTCGTATATATATATATATATACGAGTATATATATACATATATATATCGCTTAAACTTTTTTTTTAATATATATGCATTTATTGTTATTTTATAAAAGAGAAGACCATAACTTACATAGCGCCGCAAGTAAACTTCCTTTCATATACAAAAGAGTGCAGCAACTACGACAATAAACGATACTGCATCAACTAAAATTTAGTTTGGCGCAAATCAATTTAAATGATTTGAAATCATGTTTAAAGTTTAAAAAAGTCTATTTAACCTGAATTTATAGAATTGATGTCAATATTTTTATTTTAGTGCTTTCTTATTACTCGTTCAAAAAAGTTTGTTGTAGGATTCAATAAAATTCAACAAAATATTATTAATAATTCCATTAATAAAAATATTGGTGCAAAAAAACAAATGTGGCGGGATACATTAACGGAGTCTTATTTTATTATGAAAATCTTGATAGGTTAATTATAAAAATACCTAAAACCTTTTACAAAGATTTTTTAAGAATTTGATTGGAGACTTTTTTCAAATTAATACTACTAATGGCTGAGACCACACGAATCATCTTTGCTCACCAAAATTTTTATTTTTGAATCTGCTTTATTTCCACACTATTATGTGGAAATAGTTTTAGCGATTTAATTGAATTGTTTTAGCGATGTATGAATTAATTTGTTTTTGTTTTTCCGTAAAAATTAATATTAGTCTTCCATTTTTTCTAATTGTCCATTTTTGGATTTTCCTCTAAATTAGTTTAGACAGGTAAAGAATTTAACATATGTAATGTAATGTATTATAAATGAAACATTACTGATTTTAAAATTTTTTACCCGATTTCAGAAGCTTTTAATTTTTTTAATTAAATATTGTATTCTTAAAACACGATTTCTGTTTTATGTTATTCTTTGTATTATCATAAAAAAACAATATTGCAAATTGGATTTATAAAACCAATCTGTGTTGATAACCCTGTAATCAAAAATTCATTACAAATAATTATTTTTATAAACAATATTTTTGTTTTGTTTTTCCATTTGGTATTGCACTCTACTGAGATGTAGGTCGTTGAAAATTCTATGAATAAATAATGACAAAAATAAAGTTGGGTCAAACCACAAACCAGTATTTTACTTGTAGCACTTTTCCGTTCTACAAGTAAAAATACTGCTTTTAAAACCAATTTACATGTGTAATATACCTACTACACTATTAGAATTTCTTTCATTCATGTAGGAAACTTTTTCAAGAATTGCATACATTTGGGATGAACGATTTTGCAGTCTTTGAATAAAGCAAAAATAAAATTAAGGAGTTGTTAACGTATCGCCGATTTAAGGGGTTAATTGCATGAATTGAGAAAAGTAGTTATATTTTTTAATGATATTAAGTTTACAGTTAGCTCTCTGTGTTTATAGAAATTTGAACAATCTTGCAGTTTCGGAAATATAAGGTGCCAAATATTCATATATTACAAATTTCGAGAGGTGATAACTTGACAGCGGGTGGAGATTGGAAAAAATTTTCCTCTAATGAAATGAACTAGTATCGAAAAGTTGCTCAAATTTCAGACTCCTACAACCTGGGGTTTAGAAGAAAAATGACATCAACAATTTGGCATTCTTTAAGCAATTCAGCTTTGACACAAATTTTGAAATTTAGTTTTACACAAATAATCGAATTGAATTAAATTACAATATATGTATCACAGAATTATGTAGTTAAAAGTTTCTTGTTTAGTTTTGTAATAGTTATATTTATGCAACTTAGGATTTATGCAATTTTAGGAACGTAATAAAAACAATTAATGTATCTAATTTGTACCAGATATTAATATACCAAAAATTCTCTATAAATAATATAATATGAAATTATATTATTTATATGAAATGATATGATATGAAAAAATTAAATCACTTAACTATTATATAACTATCCTGTTCGATTAATTAAGAAAAGGCAATTTAAAAGAAATATAAAAAAGCAAAATAAATTAAATACGTTTATTAGAATTTAAATAACAACAAAAACATATAAAATGAAAACATACATTATTTGTACAAAATTATGTAATATTATTTTAATAGCCTTATGACGTCCAAAAAATATAAAAGTTTTGAAATAAATAATAAAGTTTGCTGACCTCCAAATTATAAAAACAAGATTTTTAATTTGTGTTTACACCATTTTCTGCTGCGTTGCCACAAGTAGATGAGTTTAAAGTTTTGCAGTATAAACTGCTATAAAAATTTTTAATAAACCTTAATTTTTTTTTAATTTGAAACTTTTAGCATTCAAGTTTTTAAATTTAGCTGTTCAAAAATATATTGGATCCTACTTATTACTATTAAAAGTAACTTAAATACAATGTATTTGATTTGCAATATCTTGATATTAAAACTTAATAAAAAAAAATATCTACAATTTATTTCAGGAGTTTAGTGGTATGTTTTAAAATAATATTAAATATACTAAAATTTTATACATAATAGACATTTTATACATAATAGATACAAATGATAGAATTATAATTAATATCGAATGATAAATCGAGATATGATACATTGCAAAATGAAAGGATCGTTTCAATATAGATGCCAATATTAATAACTCTATAGCAACTAAAAAATTTCTATGTATTCCAAGAGGAAAAATAAATATTCTCTATACTCTTTGTACTTAAATATTTGAAATAAACTTAAATTTTACCATTAGAGTACCGTCTACCCTGTGTATAGTGCTTCTGTAATAAAATTTATTGTAAGACCATTTTTTTGCAGTTTTTCAGAAAAAAAATTTGTAAGAAGAACAAATTACATATATATAAATAAATAACCTAATAATTTTTTATAATTAATTACAAATAATTAATTTATAATTTAATAAACATAAACAATGCTTATGATCAAAAATGGTCGCCCATATTACTAACTTTAAATTTTTTCGTTGAGTGTATTTTTAAAGGGTAGTTCATCAAGTTCATCAATGTTTTCACTAGTAAAAAAAGGAAAGGCAAAGGGTAGTACCAATTTATTTAATATTTATCATTTAAAAAAATGCAAGCATAAGTTTGGAAAATTGATTGGTATAAAACAGATTGCTTACTGTTTTGCAGTGCAACAATTTTATGTAAGCGACGAGCTGTTAACAAATATATTTTTAAATTAGTACAATTCGTATCTTATATGCTAATTCTTTTTATGTATTTTCATTTTGGTTTTAATTTTTTTTCTTCAAAATGTTTCATATTTAAATACAAATCACTAAATAAAATATTGGTTTTGATTTTTTCTTTATGTCTTTTGTTTAATTTTCTAAACATATTTTTTTAACTGTAATATATAATCTAACTCTTCATTTTAATTTTATGATTAACAATTCATTTTAAATAAAAACAATTCTTCTAACATAATATTTTTAATTTTTGTGAATTTTTCGGTATTTTTTGCTTATTTTGTATATCTTTTTAAAATATACGTTTTATATAGCTGTAGATTTTTTTTAATTAAGATTTTTTTTCATATTACACGTATCATTTATTTGATATAAACTTTATAAATTTTAAACGAACTTTTATAAACAGAATTTTCGTGGTATATAATGTTATATATAATACATATTTATTTATCATCATGGTAATGCTATATTATACTAACCCAAAATTATATTAGAATTTACTATTATATACCCATACTTCTACAATAGTGTTTCTTATATTTCTCTATTGCCTAACGTTATTCAATCTTTTAGTAGTAAGGATGTAGAACATTAATTTTTGTTTTTTTTTTTTTATTTTGGCTAATCTTTGTGTTTTAATTGAATCAGTAAATTTCTTTTTACCTTTTCAGTTTCAAAATTTTATCTATTTCAAATTGTTATTAAACAATCTTCGTTTTTTTATATTATGCAATTAAGTAGTTTTTGTATTTAACGAATTTAATATAACTACTTAATAACGAATATGAATTTTGCTACAATACAGTAAAAAAAAATTATTATTTTGAAAATTTAAGTTTGATTTAAAAGAGCAGTTTTTATTATAACTATTTGAAAACTTTTATAATACATACGTATAAATATATCAACTTGGAGTTTTGGAAAATTTGATGATGTGTTTTATATGCTATTATCTACATACCTATTTGTAAAATTGCGTTATTATACAATTATACTAATTTTATATGAAGCTCATAATTTAGCATTGTTTTTTTTTTTAGTATATAATTTTACTTTATTTTCATTACTTTAAGTTTCCGCACAAAGACAGATTTAGGGTATTGAATACTGTTCCAGACTAAATCATTAACGTGCCCTTAAGGTAAGTAAGTTATGTTGTAATATTATAATTATATTTTTGTTTCAATACTTGTCTGAATTTTTGCTAGAAAATTTATGCTATTTTTTCAAGATAAATTATACATAAATTATATAGGCTATACATAAATTAAGAAATGTCTAAATTTTTTATTGGGAAGAGCCGGAAGTGTACAGATGGATAAAATTGTATACAATTTTAGAACATAAAAAATTAAAATATTGTTTAGATATATTTAAAACCAATAAAGACATTAAATAAATTGTAGAATTTTATTTACATATTATGTAAAACTTTCCTATGTTCCCATGTAATTTTCTTTTATTCAATTAAATCTCGACCAGTGAAATGTGTTCTGGAATTAATAGCATCTTAGTGGAAGGTAATACAACGTAAATAATTTTTCAAACTAATTAATAACTTATAATTATATTTCAAATGGTGGCAAGAAGTATTTTAAATGAAAAACAAATCTGTTATTTCATTTTGCCTATATTACTGCAGGCATAAAGAAGTAATTTCGTACATGTAACAAAGTGGCAGTAAAATGTAAGAATATCACTTCGGTGGATCAGATTTGACAATTTTCAATTTCAGATATTTTCCTATCAGGGTTTAAAATTTGAAAAGTTGTTTAGAAAGCCTTTAAGATTTTATTATGGCAGCATATGTAACAGAAAATTTGGTGAAAAACTATAACTAAATAACAAGAGGTATTTACGTAAACTTATTTTTGTAAAAATTATATAGGGTTTTTATTCAAAAGCAAAATGTTTTATACAAGAAGACAGCTATGCCAATGTATCGTTTTTGATTTTCTAAATAATTATTAGCTTCATCTTTATTTCATATTAATAATTTGCTGTATTAATTTTATATACGCTGTATTTTTACGTTACAAGTACCTATTTACATACGCATATTTATTTCCACTTCGTCGTTATGATGAAATTATGTAACTAGAAGTGTATATTTAAATGTATATGTATTCTGTACTGTATATATTTTATATACATTAATATATTATTATAATATGTAATATTTGTTATATGTATAAAAATGTATTGCATATCATTAAATATGTAAGAATATAAAAAATAAAAAATATATTTATTTAACATTTATATTTTATATATATTACAATAATATATTTATATTTATATATTTTTAATATACATATACATATATATATATATGTATGTGTATATTTAGTGCTCAAAGTGAGGCGGGATGGAGTGGGATGCCATTCCAGTACTTTTAAATAATTGGAAATCCATCCCACTACTTAATAGGAGAGAAAAATGCGTTCCAGAACACGTTTTTCAAAATTTAAGAAAATTTTCTAATGAATTTTAAAAATTTTTTTAACAAAAAATTTTAAATGTAATTTTAAATAAGACTAATTTCAAATAGTAACGTATAATTTTTTTCTATTAACGAAATTTTCGTTACTACAATACTTGCATCTATGCGTCTATGCATTTCTTTGGTAACAATTTGCACAGTTTTTGATTCAATTTTTTGTTGAATTAATTTTGAATATAAATATTCTCGTTAGTTTACTTCCAAAGTTTCGTAAATTTTGTTTAGTTATTTTTTTAAAAAATAATTAAAATAATACTTTTTTTTTTTTATTTTTTTTTTACCATCTTACCACTTTGAGTATCCCACTTCGACCACTCAATATATAATCAATATATCAATATATAAATTAAATATCCAATAAATCTCTTATAATATTTATTAAAAGAATACTGCTGAGATGTTGGAAAATATGTATTATAAAATTTACTTAAAAATTTGCAAGATGTGTAAGTACTATACAAGTCTAAGTATTTTTATTTCTTAACTAGATCTTATGCTATATATAATTTGGAGTTAGTTTAATACAATTTGAAATTGATCATCTATATTAAACTGAAAAAGTTGATTAATTATTTAAATTAATTTGAATCTAATTTATATATATATATATATATATATAAATATATATATATATATATATATATATATATATATATATAAATGTATTTATATATATATTGTAATATAAAATTAATTTCAGTAGTTTAACTAACTAGTTTTTTTAACTGATTTTAATTTCAAGTTTTTGGCGTTGTGTTTTTATTTTTGGTTTGCAAGTAAGACAAAAAAATTTTTAATTATTTAAAAATACAAAGGTATTAAGTAAATGTGTTTCAAGACTTTAATTTTGGTTCTTAACTTTAGTTATTAAGTTAAAAGAATCGCATCTCGTAATTGTGGCGACTTTTAAGTATATTTGTTGTACATACGTTTACACATTGAACTAAGTTGACTTAAGAATATATTGTTATAACCTCGCGTCCTCCACCACGCACCATTAAAACACGTTCTAATCCTTCAGTTAGTACTTCTAAAAACTCCATATCTAAAAAAATGTATAAAAAAGAAAACAAATGGTTATATTTTATTAATATTAACCCATTTTTAGAGCAAAATATAATAAAAATCTAAATTTAAATTGAATATATATAGAGCCAAATTTACATTTTTCTAGGTATGTTAAATATAAGCTTACGAATGGTCTAAAAAGTGGAAAGAAGTATTTAACAGACATTTTTATAATATTCTGTAACACTTTCACTTAACTAGACAATACACATTGCGGTCAGTTATGTGCTGACCACATCAGATTTTTTTAATAGCTTTTCTTATTTTAAGTTTTACCTTATTATTTTAAAAAAAAAAAACATATCTATACGTATATTACAGGTGTGTTTTTGGAGAAAATAAGTAAACTTAAAATATCTCATACACAGGATGGAACACAATTTTAAAACTAGAGATATGATACTTGCAGGGCTGGCAGCGCAAGCACACACGACTAGTTTTTACATAAACCACGATATTTTCTATTACATATTTATCGTCTATCGTTGAATTGTGGTGAAGATATTTTCAGCGTTTTTGTTAAATTGTAAATGTGGAAAAATCACCATCATCGAATTTTTACCAAAATACAGATAAAAGCTTTCCTATGCATTTAACTTATTCAGCGTTAAAATTTTTTATGCAAAGCAAATTTCCCATTTTTTTCGTTCGATCTTTTTTTTTCAAATTTGATCTTAATTCTATTTTTTATGTCCTCTTTGCTCCGCTTGAGCTAATAATTACTATTGAGGTACTTGAAATGAGTGTGAGTGACAATGTTTTGGAATAATTTTATTTTTGTTTAATTGGTCTTGAGGCGTACTTTTTCAGGCTATTCGCTTAGTTGGGTTAGTTTTTTCTAGTTGTCAGCGAACGTATAAGACAGCACTGGTATGTCATCTAGGGAATCAAAGTTTTCGAGAAGTTTGGACCACCACTAAATGGTTTGAGGCGTCCTATGATCTATGTGACGTTAATGTTTTTCTCACTCATTTCTGTTTGCTGTCCCTTTGTTTTCTTACAGGGTCACTAAGTATTCTTTGTTCATGCCGCCTGGTGTCCGTATTTCTATACATTTCCCTAATGAACTTGGTTATTTTGTAGGGGAATCTCCTATTTTTGTGTGCTTGCCATATAGCTATCAAAAAATTCTCAAAATCGACAATTACAATATATAATGGTGAACTGAAATCTGCCGATTGCTTTTAGGGTTAAGTTTCTTTAATTTCGGCTTATTTACAATGATACCTTATATCCAAGCATCAGGTATCCTCTCACTGCTCTTTCAACAGAATTTCAAATAGAATATCTGCTGTTCAGTTTAGATCAGTTCTGCGGGTTTTTTATAAGAGTCCTAATCACTGTTTTTCTTCTTTTCAGCTTTTGCCTTTATTGTTTCTCTCTTTGTTGGAGGATTCTGAAGGCTGATGTTCTCAATGACTTATTATTTGTCTGATGTGCTTGTAAATATGTTTGTCACTGTCAATATCTGCGCTACTTCAGACTGTGACGTCTAGTAGAAATCATTTCCATCTGCTGCTACCGCATATGTGATCTGTCTGTTTCTTGACTCTTTTGTTGGATGACTACCATGTGTGGTTGTAAGTGTTCTTGTGGGCGAAGAGATGCTCGCAGATAGCCATGTATATTTATTCCATACCAGGTACTCCCGGTTATTCTTAATTGTGGCCATACAGATTTTCGATCACCAAGTTTGGCATTAAGGTCCCCGAATAATATTACATTGTTAGTCTTGTGGATGCTATTTATAGACGCGATAAGTTGATAGTAGAAGGCGTCTTCACTTTCACGCGAGCAGATACAGTTAGAGCGCATGAATTTTTAATATTTTCTTTATGCTGGTGAAAAACATGGCCAATACTAGTCTATCTGATAATGCCTTCAAGATCATCAATTTTATTTTTATGATACCTATAATATCCCTACACTGAAATCGCTGTCATCCTCGCTACTGAAGTTCATTTTGTTTCCACTAGATGTCATCATTTCGCGTTTACTAGCCCATCGAATTTGACCTTGTGCGAGGATTTCAACACGAAATCTGCCCATTTTCGTATCAATTTGTGTTAATCCTGGATCTGTGCGAACGTTGCCATAACCTATTCTAACCCTAATACGTGTTTCAGCGGTCTTTACTGTATGGTCAGTTAATATACGTTGGTTGTTAATGTTAGTTCACCACTGTCAGTCCCTCATGGTATATATTTTTTTTTATTATTTTATAAGGTTATATTATTGTATTGTATTTTACTACCACGAACGTAGTTGTTAATTTGCATTATTAAAGAAACTATTTTATATTGTTTTTATACCCTGCACTTCGTGAAGGGTATATTAACTTTGGTATGGAGTTTGTAACTACTTGAAGGAGTCATCTGCGTTATGGATATATATATATATTCTTGCTCAGCATAAAATTCTGCGTCGATTTAGACATGTCCGTCTGTCCGTCCGTCCGTCCGTCCGTCCGTCCGTCCGTCCGTCCGTCCTTCCGTCCGTCCGTCCGATCGCACGATAACTCAAAAACGAATAATGCTATCGACACCAAACTTTCACAAGTTTTTTCTTTTGTGCCAAGGACGAGCCCTATTGTTATTGGACTAATTTGGACAACGGGTTCGGGTAGCTGCCATACAACTCAAAGAGTTTATTTTAAATATTTCAAAAACTAATAAAGCTATAAATATAAAATTTTGTATACATGTGTCCAATTATATTCTACACATGCTCTAAATTATAATGGGATAGCTGCACCGGTTCGGGTGGCTGCCATACAACTCCAATAGCAAATTTTTTATATTCGGAAAAATAATAAAGTCAGATTCATGAAACTTGGCAGTCATGTGTCCAATTATAGGTCAAATATATTTCTGAAGTTTTGATGGAATTGCTTGACAGGTTCGGGTACTTGCCATACAACTCCAGAAGCTAATTTTAAATATTTGGAAAAATAATATAGTCAGATACATTAAACTTGACAGATGTGTGTCGAGTTATAGGCCAGATATATTTCTGAAGTTTTGGTGGAATTGCTTGACGGGTTCGAGTACCTTCCATACAAGTCTAAAAGCTTATATTAAATATTTGGAAAAATAATAAAGTCAGATTCATGAAACTTGACAGTTGTATGTCGAGTTATAGGCCAGATATATTTCTGAAGTTTTGGTTGAATTGCTCTACAGCTACGAGTAGCTCCCATACAAGTCCAAAAGTTTAGATATTTGGAAAAATAAAGTCAGATTCATGACACTTGGCAGTTGTGTATCCAGATATAAATCAGACATATCCGTGAAATTTCTATAGAATGGTTTCACTGGTTTGAGTAATTGCTATACAACAACAAAGGTGCAGGGTATAATTCAATCGGTTTATACCGACTGAAACGTTTTTACTTGTTTATAATAATATTGTATATTTGAAAGAAAAAAAATCCAATGTTACTATAATGGAAATGACATTAAAAGTTTATTTGCTAAAATGCATTTGAGGTACCTCAAAAAATTCAGTTTTACTTACAATTGCTTTCCCGATCTGAATGTGTTTCTTTCGGTGGTCCTGGTAAATTGATTATAACCAACTGGGCATCTTGTGATTTATTTACAATAACTTCATTTAATTTCACAGCCGTATGCATTCTACGTACGTTGATTTCATCTCTATTTTAATTAAAAGTATTGTTATATTAGTCTAACAATAAGTTTAAAAAGTTTAAAAAATATATACTGACGGCATATTTTTCTTTGGATTTTTTTCTGGAGATTTTTGCCGTTTAGACGTATCTGGTTTTTCTGAATTTTCAGGTTGTTTCTCTTCTTTATCCTGACCCTTTTCGTACTCTCCTGAAATGTTTTCATCCTTTTCAGCATTTTTGGCGGGCGATGAGTTTTCTTTATCAACATCGCTACCATCGTTGTTCTCTGAACTTAACTAAAAAAATGAATTTGAATAATTAAAATTAAGGTATTACTTACATCATTTCTATATATTTTAATTGCAAAAAAACTACTTAAACAAAACAATAAAAATACTACAGGTAATATATTTAAAATTTCTATAATACTGTTAAAATTTCCATAATATAGTCAATAAATATCTTTAAAAAGAAAATAAGTTATTTTCCAAATATACTAAATTTATAACAACATAGTCCATTTTGTGTTTTGTGTTTCGTATTTCGATTTAGAATTGCTTCATTTTGTTAATTTTTGGTTTAAGTTTTTGAAAATTCTTAAGTGGTTATGAACAGGTAATTCTAAGGAAATATCTTTTTCTGACAGATCTATTAAAAACCATGAAAGTTCTGGAAGAATTGAGTTATTTGGAAGCTAACAGTTTTTATAGTATGTGTTCGTATAATGTTTGATTGAAATGTGATACAATGTACTTAATTCAGATATTTGATTAACTTTAATAAACTATTGTGTTAATTCACTTACTAAAAAACGTACAATTAACGTGCCGTAAAAAAACGGATTCTCTTTAAAAAATTTGAGGCAAAAACATAAATTTATAAACATATAAAATTATGATGTAATAAAACGAAGCTAAAAATAATTTGAAAAAAATTCAAATATCAAAATGTATGAATATGATTAATACTTATTTTAATTAACGCACACAAATAAGTCGAATTAATTTGCTTCTAATAAGTTGAATAAGTCTATTAAACTTATTAATAAAATTATGAAGTGATGAAATATAAATTAATTTAGTTACGCTGACACCCTCCGACTTGACGAAATAGAAATCCATGGTTAAAAATAGTTATCGCTGGTTTAAAATATTATTTAACTTAAATTTTATTACCTTCCGCGTAAATTTTCACTATAATATTGGTGAAAACTAGTTCTCTTCCTTAAGTTTATTTCCCCTAGGTGAATGCATAATACTGTAAAGACTGCTGAAAGAATATTGGTTGACGAAAACTGGTTTATTTAATTTGACGAAATTGAGGTAATAATCAATTAATTGATCCTAAGACAAATAAATAAAGCAAGAAGGTCGTAACTGGAACATTTGCACATGCAACTACCTATCCGAACACAAGAAATTATGATTATTCTAAATAGCTTTTTGGTGAACGCTAAATAAGAATCTATTGAGAGTTCCCGGTGAAAAAATATTTCTAAGCTGAACCTAGAAGGTGATGACTCAAGCAGACTTTGCGCGAGAATATTGGACTTTGATTCACCGGAGAAAAAAAAATACTAGGCAACTGTATTTTTGAGCTTCTCAAGTTTCTTAAATTTAACATGATCCAGGATTTCAAGTAGTTGCTGTAGGACCATGCCGATTACGTCTTGAGTAAACAACCGATCCTTATATGGTCAAATATAGAGTTTTACATCTACATCTAAAATCTATTGTCAATTTATAAAACTAAAATTTGTGTTTTACAACTTTTTGATGTCGTATTTTTATACAACCATAAAAAATTTTTAAATTGTGTAAAAGTAAATACCTCGTCCGTCGTTCCATCCTCATTATCTGGATCAGCAAATCGAACTTTGGATGAAGTTCTCGTAGTTTCATGGTGATGATCAACTATTGTTTGTACCTATACACAATATAAAATAAAAACACAAAGAAAGATTCATTACAAAAAGTTAAAAATCTTTTAATTAAGCACTAAGCCATTAACAATTAAAAAGCTACATATCATCTTATGTTTCAAAACAATATTGGTTTTAATATTTTTGTTTTTCAAAATATTAAAAAGATATTGTTGATAAGCTTAAACCAATATTTACTAACAAAAATATAAGCATTCATATTGAGTCCTTAAATAGCTTTCCATCTTACGACTGACAAAATGAAAAATGAAAATATTTGCAATGAAAAGTATTTAAAATATCTGATTTGGAACTTTTCCAATCCTATGATCTGAAAAGCATACACAAAGGTGAATTACATGCACGTAAATAGTATGTGAAAGAAAATATTTCTACTTATTATGACTATCCATTTTTTCATTCGGAAAGTGAAGTTAATTAATAAAAAGTTTTAGAATTGATAAGCTTGAATTGTAATTATAATTTAGCTTACATCAAATTGTATTTAAGATTCTATAAAACTATTTAGGTATTCTTTCATTTAGGTATATTTAGGTATTTTTATAGTTCAGAATTTTCGATATAAACATTTTAACTCAAAATTTTCGATATAAACATTTTAACTCAAAACACTTGTATAAAATAATGAAATAAGTTTCAAAAATTACTCTTCTTCTAAGGTATGTATTAGAGTACAAATTTCTCGACTAAGCAACTATTCTTAGAATCATCCGGAATCTGCTTAAAACAATAGAAATTGATATTGAATATTAATTTAATATTAATAATGCAAAAAATATTTCTATTATATAATATGGTCAAATCTTGACAAACCCAATAATCAGGGCAAAAATACTTACTTACATAATTCACAAAAAGTATATCAAAGTATAAAAAATAAATATGCATTTAACTCAGTTCTGGCGCAATAATGCGTAACTTTCCGAAATAATGAAATGAATAACCTTAGTATGAAACCATATAAATATGATTTTATATAAAACTTATTACATATAATTATTAATAAAAAATTCTCATTTATAAAGAGTACGTGCGCATAAAAAAAAGAATTTATAAAAGTAATATGTTTTGAACCAGCCAGCTTTTATCGCTAAATGATTTTTGATAAACTTTATAATTCCTCAATAGATAATTTTCTAAAGTAATCGAATAATTGTTTTCGTTTAATACTTTGTTCAAGTTTAAAATTTTTTTATTTTCGCAAACAATCTGTATGAATGTAAAAATAGTAATGTTATTAGCTTTTGATTGCAAAATAAATAACTAAAGCTTCAAAAAAATCGTTTTGAAAAAAAAACTAAAATTCTACCAATACTGGGAACCACGCCAATACTAGTAGTAAAAAATCATAATATGTACGAGTATATCCAAACAGGAGATGTATTCCATAAAACTATCAAATGGATCGACAGTTTCCCTAACAGTCGATAAGCTTTTCCGAAAATAAAGGAGAGTTTTTAGTAAAAAGTTAATTCCGTAGCATTTCAATGAAGTTTTTAACTGGCACATGATGAGATCTTGGGCTTAACAAATTTTGGTTTTGTGGCATTTAAAGGAGAAATGAAGATGGAAAAAAAGAAATGGAGATAATTTTTTTATATCACTGCAGCGTTTAATATAGCGCGACGCTAAAACAAATTCAAAATCATATAAGTTTTCTTCACCAACTAGACCTGAAACAGCAAAGCACGACTTTCTATACTAATACTCCAAGCTATAGAGATATGCCAGAAACTCCCTACAATGTAAAAATGCATTTATGTTTAGATAATGCGCTTTTATTTTTTTGGAATGTTTTTTTTTATTCAAAAATAAAAACGCCAACATGGTTTCAATAAAATAGGGCCCCATTACACTTCATGTTTCTTGTTTTTTGCATTTGGAATTGTTCTATGATCAATTTTGAAAGTATAAAGTTATCTGAATGAAGTACATATATAGGGTTTCTTTGAAATCATCAAATAAAATTGTACGATTTCATCAAAATTATAAAAAATAAAATTTTTGATTAATGTATTTAATTTTTGAGTACGATTTCGTTTTTTCTTAAACATATTGCATTATTTGGACTTTGAGATTATGTATTATTTAATTTGTATTATTTAATTTTATGACTTACTTCAATAAAAAAAAATTTTGTTTTAATTTATTTTAATTTAAAAGTTTCCACTTATATAACAAAAAAAAGCTAATGAGAATTTGGCTTTTAGTAGAGTTTCATTTTGTGCCGTCTGAATTATACGAAAGTTCGTCAGTAACTTCTGGTAATAACCAGAACTCAAATATTAAATTTCAAGGAATTCCATCAATTCGTTCCGTAGATATGGTAAAAAATGTAAAATCGGCCTCCAGATTAATTTCCAACTCTCGATCTTTCAAAAAGTTTATAGATCAATTTTTTTAATACCTCGAATTTAAATATTAAATTTCAATGAAATCGGTTGATTATTTTTCTTTATATGTGCAAAAATGTATATTTGGCCCTAGCAAACGTCTGGTTGATGAAACCTGATTTCTTCTAAAAGTTAGGAAGTTTCACGTACGGTCGAGTGTAATATTATATTTCAAGTAAATCTGTTGAATATTTTCTTCAAAATGATTGGAAATGTAAAACAGGCCCGTTAAAAAGTTCAGTTCAATTTAATAAATCCGTCACATTGTTGAAATAAACTCACATAAAAAATTTCATGAAAATCGGTTCAGCCGTATTTGATACACGCGTGCACACACAGATCAGCAGACCGACAAACCGACAGATCGACAGACGGACGTATCTCTAAATGTTGTTTATTTGCGCTTACAATATATTTCCATTTTTATAAACTACAAAAAATTGAGGTTAATCTAAAACCAAGTTGGGAAAACTGTCAATTTCAGATTCTTGAATTATTGTTTGATGTTTGTTTATTCCTGATTTGAAGTAATTTCTGATCTTTATGCATTTACAAAATTTTCAAGTTGAAATCGAATGAAGCTATAGCAATATCACTTGCAGATATAGACAACTCTGTATACAAATTCAAAAAATTCGACAAACTGATAATGTGCGCTTTTTTAAGTAAAATAAAATTGTAAAATTATTGAAAGTTACTTTATTAATAAAGCTTTTAACCTAAAAATATTCTAGATATTGTTTGCTGTTTTTCAAGTTGTTTCAGAACCATTCAAACTCAATAGCTGTAACTTCACCTTCATACCTAAAGAAAAGGGATCTATTACATTCATATTGCTAGTTGGGTATCCAGATGTTGACAATGTATTCGGTTTATATTGTACATATGTACGTTATTCAGTTTACAGAGGATGATTCAGCAAAACGTTGCAAGCCACACACCATTGGGTAGCGGTCCACAAATGAGAAAAATTTTGTTCGCAACATGGCATTAATCGTATCCGTTTTCGAGTTACAGGAATTTTAAGAAAATTTTTCGAAATTTTAACACATTCAAGTTTTTTGTTTATAACTTCTAAACTAGGCGTGTTTGCAAATTTTGCGTCTGTAGTTTTGAAATTATGTTCCATTCTGTGTGTCAGGTATTTTAAATTTCCTTTTATTCTTCAAAAACACACCAATATAATATCCATACAGATATGTTTTTTGCCTAATAAATAATATGATAAGGCTTAAAATAAGAAACGGTCTTAAAAATAGTTACAAAAAAGTACATAATTAAACAAATTATTAGCTCCTTTAGATCTAATATTTTTTGAGTAATTTATTATAGAACCTCGCTTTAAGTTATGCCGGTTAATATTGTAAATTACTGTTGACAATAAGCATTATAAGCGAGGCATACGTATAAAATAATTCGATACTAATTAGAATTCATGTACACTGGTATCTGGATTCTATAATGTGTACGAATAAAATGCGTGAATATATGATTAGTTAATACCAATAATATTTATGGTAATGCGTATAGCATACAATTTATATACAAGGTGTCTAGGCCTCAAATCCGGAAAAATACGGATTGTCAGATGAACTTTTTTTTATTGATAATTTTATTTTTCTTTTGTTCTTATTTAAAATTAAATTAAAAAAGTTTTACCCTTAAAAATCAATATCAGCGACTTTCCGCTCCTAAATGATTTTTGAAACTACCCTATAAATAAATTGTTCAATACTGTAATATAACATTTTTTTATTAAATTTTGTCTTAAATTTTGTCAAGAAATTTAATGTGTTCTTATGTTTTGCTTGTTAATTACATACATATCGCCAAAAAAATGTATAACTAAATGCGTACATACATACTTATTAAAAAACAATGTAGATTTTATTAATTTTATAAACTTCTTGTTATAAGTTACACTTAAAAATCAATTTATATACAATATTCTACCAAAAGTAAATAAAATTAACTCCATTAGTTCCATTTTGCAAAGAGTGGTCACATAGCACATGGGAGGAGTAGAAAGGCTAGGATGGGGGGTAGAAGTCCTGCTTTTTTTAGTATTAAAATCCGATCTCATGCCTTTTGTCCCACGTCTCTAGCCCTTCTAGAAGTACGCGTACTTTTTTGCACCTTAGAAGTAGCTATATGTGTATTATAATATATATATAATATATATATATAATATAAAGCGTACTTTCCTTTTGTGAATTATTTTAAAATTTTTTTTTTATTTTATTTTGTTTCAATTTTTTGTTTTATTATGTTTATACATACACATATGTATCTTGTTATAAAAGATAAATATTTTTATAAATGTTTAAGAAAAATTTCCGAAAAAATATTGTTATAATAATTTGGAAAAATTCGCAAAAATTTTAAGTACATATGTACATACATAAACATGTACATATATTTTTTTTAAAGCTTCCTATATGAGTTGAATAATATTCAAAACTGTTGTAAAAACTCTAACTCTATAGGTACTGCAGTTAATATACTAGGCTCCATGTTAAAATCAAACGTGCAACCGGAGGATATAGTGAGGTGCCAGTCTTGGAAAGTTGATAAGCAAACGAACAACAGCA